GGATGAACCACGGGGTGACATGCTGGGGAGGCCCGTCTCAGCAACCAGACGCTGCCATCCAAGGAGCAGAGTGAAAATTGTCTGACGTTTGAGGAATACAAAGGGAAGCAAAGGCGGAACCGTCCTTAGAACAGGGCGTCTGTACAAGGGGAGGAAGGGAGCCCGGCCGCCGGCTACGGTGGTGGCAGCTGCTGGCGCCCCTCCGTCTCTGCCCACCAGCGCTCCAGCATGTGGATCCTCTTCTCCAGGGCCTCCATCTGCCTATGGACAGCCCCAACTGCAGAAGGAGGCAACCGGGGACGGTCAGGAGGGGCTTTGGGGGGAAGAGGGAGGAGGGGGAAGGGGCTGCCACCCTGCTGGAACAGACCCACAAGTTGGGAGAGGGGGGAGGTCATGGAAGGGGCTGCCCCACTTACGGTTGCGGAGGACAGAGATGCGCAAGTCTTCCAGTGAATGGTGAAGGGACTTGAGGGTCACCGGAGGTGGCTGCGCTGGGGCATCGGGGAGGGCCAAGGGGGAGGGGCCAGCAGGGGAGGCACTCCAGCCCCCTTCGGCCAGTCTCCGGTGTTTACCTGCAAAGAGAGGGCACCTTCTACGCCTCTGGGAGCACCTGAGGCCCAGGCAGACAGAGCTTTGCTCCTGTGGGGCAGAGGGTTCCGCCCTGGAGGGGGGCGGGGGAGGGGAGGATGGGACATTTGCCCTAGTGGCTCCAGGATGGTGCTGGAGAGCTCGACTCCCCAAGACCCTGGGGAGGGCTGGGGTTCACCAGGGGACCCCCCCACCCTCCCGGGAAGGGGCAGCAGGTCCCTCTGACCAGCCTGGGGGAAGCAGCCCTGGGCTGCTGCTGGCCTGGCCATGCTCCCACTGGCCTTCTTCAGGGCAGCAGGTGGGAGGGGCTCTTCCACCTGAGGGCTCGGGGGGAGGGGAGAAGGCAGAAGTCAGGGGGCCTCCCAGGCCCTCCAGGAGGGGCCCAAGACTGGGGAGGCATGGAAGGACCCACTCAGCTTACCCAGCAGCCCATGGGAGGCAGCCTCTCTGGTCCCAAAGTGGGGGTCCCCCTGGTGGAAAGGAAAGTCAGCCATGGCAGGCCAGGAAGGGAGCTCAGGCAAAACGAGGAGCTTCTCCGCAGAATTCCTGGCAAACAGGAAGCCCCTCTCGACCTGGGGGCTCCATCCCACCCACCCCCGGTGGCTTCCCTCCTCAGGCAGAGGCATCCAGAACAGCCACAACTGGGCTTTTGCAAGGACCCTTTGGCACAACAGCCGAAGCGGAAAAGGCAGCGAAAAAGGGGTGGGGCCAATATTCCCCCACCCCCCACCCGGTGGAAGAAGCAGCCCAGAAACCTTCCTGGCACCATTTTGGGGCTCTTGCTGAGAGGCCGACTCAAGAGGCCCCACTCACCAGGGTGCCAGGGCCCGGGGCTGACTTCGGGCAGGGTGGGTGGGGCTGCTGCTGGGAAGGGGGCTCCGGGCTCAGGCCCGCTGCTGCTGCTGCTGCCGATGCCGCCGCCATCGGCCCCAAGGATGCACTTTGACTCTGGGCCCCTGGCAAGGCATGAGGAGGCAGAAGGGCCACGGCGGGCACAGAGTGAGAGAGGGGGGAGCCTGGGTCCTGGCCCTGCTGGGAGGAAGAACCATCAGCGGAGCATCCAGAAACTCATCAAACCCCACCAGGGGCCCCTCTTTGCAAAGGGCCCCCACCCCGACCGAAGGAGGGGGGCAAGTGGAGCCCTCCCCCAAGTCTTCAGGACCAATCACAGGGCATGCAGGAGCAGCCACAACTGGCAGGCTGGGCCCCCCTGTAGGGGGTTGTGGCATCAGGTGGCCAATGATTCTGCTGCCCGCAAGGGCCAAGGAAGGGGAAGCAGAGAAGCGGCCCCTCGTGACCTCTCAGGGAACACACACACACACACGCACATACACCGCCCCTCCGAATACGAAGACCTTTGCCAGCTGAAACCTTCAATTTCCCCGCAAGTGGGCAAGGGAAATGGAGCACACAAACACACACACACAGCCCTCCAGGCCTACCTGGGCTCCTCCGTCCTGTGGAGCCGATTCCCCCAGGATGCCCAGGCTGGCGTCCAGAGCTCCAAGGTGGGCAGGAAACAGATGCGGGGGCAGGAACTGGCCGGGGGCTGGAGGAGGGCTCGGGAAGGTGCTCAAAGAGGCCCTTGTTGCACTTTGGGGCTGAGGCAGCCAAGGGGAAGTGGCGGGCACCTAGCAAACGAGATGGACCGTCAGGCTACGAGACAGGGGTGCGAGGGGCACCGACTCCGAGGCGAAAGGGGAACGGACCCAAGATGAGAGCCGGCGGCTTCTCCAGACCTGAACCCACCACACAGGAATTTTCCCACCCAGACATGGGAGTGGGAAAAGGACTCTTCCTCCCCGTTTAGGATCGGTACAGCTGCAAACCGATTCTGCAGGAGTGAGTCCTCCCCCGCGCAGTGTATTTGCCCTGCCCACCTCGGAGAGTCACGCTATGAACATCTGAACAGGGTGAGATCCACACAGTGCAGCATCTGGGTGCAGTGAAGGGCTGGGGGGGAGGGGGAACCAACCGCCGGAGCCGCTTCCTCGCCGTGGGTCTGAGCAGGTGGGCTTGTCTGGGGGGCCACCAGGGGGTCCAGCAAAACGGGAGAGGTCTGGATGGTCCAAATGGACATGGGGTTCAGCGGAGGGACACCTGCAAAAGGTACCCCAGGACAGCTCAGCCGGCTGCGTCTGAACGCCATGGGCTCCCAGCCCCAACTCTGGCCGTGAGAGTCACCCTGGCAGTGAAACCAACGGCTTCAGATGACACCCTAAACTCCAAATCTGGGTTAAGCAAAGATAGAAAAACTGCCCGCCCGCAAGAAGCGGGGAAACTCGCAAAGGCTCAAGGGAAGGCTAGCTTGACGCCACCCGCAGAGAGAAACCTTTTGGACTTCCCCAAATTGCCCGTCCAATTGGGGAAGGGAGGCAGGGGGCTGCGCCTGCAAAAAGACTCCTGGGCATCGCCCCAGAGCCAGTCGGGCGACCGAGGCTCCCCGCCCTGGCCCCTCTTTGGCCGGGCCAAACAGAAGAAGCCGAATCCTTTGCTGGAGCGATGGTGGGAAACAGCTCCATCGCTTCAGCCTCTCCCGTCCGAGTTGGCTTCCCTGTCAGGGTTCTTGGGGTTAGGAAAAGCTGCCACCGCGAGATGGGAAGGCTGGCTACAAATAGCGAAAGTGAAAGCAAGTATACCTGGGGGGTCCTGGGTGGGGCTCGGAGGCACTTCTGGGGCGGCCAGCTGACTGCCTGCAATAAAAACACACAACCCTCTTCAGCCTCTTCAACCACGTTTCTGCTGAAAGAAAAAGTCATCCGAGTAGAAAACTGACCAGGTTAAGAAGAGCCTCGCATCTTGGCCAAACTCAGTCAGGAGGGTTTTGCTCATTAGCCTGGCTCGAAAGGGCTTCTCAGTTCCCGCAACTCTCCCTCACCCTAACCCTGGAGGATCATCAAAGCCAAGTTGCTTCCATCCCTGGGTGGGATTCATTTTTTTTTTACTATCGGTTCTGTGGGCGTGGCTTGGTGGGCGTGGCAAGGGAAGGATACTGCAAAATCTCCATTCCCTCCCCGCTCCTGGGGGAAGATTACCCCCAGTTCTCCAAACTACTCCAAATTTCCGCTACCGGTTCTCCAGAACTTCTCAGAACCTGCTGAACGCCACCTCTGCCTTCTGCCTACAGAGGGTCCCTTAATGGAAAAACGGTCTTGCAATTTGAAGGGATCGCCTGTGGGGAGCATCCCGAGGGACTAACCCGAACCCACATGGCCTTCGGGGGGGGGGAAGAGCTGGGAGGTGCCCCAGGCACGAGGGACAGGAAGAGCCTCTCAGGACCAGGCTGGGAGACAAGGCTGTCTTCGGACTGTTCAGAAAAGAAGATTTCATCATGGCCGCCGAAGCCCTGAGAGGAAAGAGACCAGCTGTCCAGCTCAATTGGCTTCTGAGCAGTCAGTAAACACTCAGACCTCGGAAGGAATAAACTTCATATGCCTAAAACGGGCCACCTGGAGGAGGAGAAGGGATACAGGACCAGAATCACCGGAAGGCAGCCGCAGAGAGCGTTCCCCTTGTATTTGTCCACTGATTATATCCCACGGATGTTCCTGCCCATCTCACAGAAGGCTATTCTGGGCGGCTCACAAGAAGAGCCACTGAAAATCCGTCCACGACTGAAAACACCAATCCAAGCATTCTTTATTTCCACCACCCCACAAGTGAATGGGGAGAAGATTCACCTCTTGGGGCTCCGGGGAATGCAGCTCCCCCACCTGTCAGGGAAGGAGATAAGGACGCCGGCCATGTTGGGGTGTCAAGGTTAAAGTCTGGACAAGGGAGGCTGGAAACAGGGGCTTGGGCTGCCTCAAGGAAGCCTGGCTGGAAAGGGGCCTAATAGCCGAAGGCCCCCCCCCGGGGCCACGATCCAAGGCAGCCCGGGGGGGAGGGCCGAGAACAGCTCCCAGCCAGGGTGGGGAAGGGAGCACCCAAAAGAGAAGAGGAGGAAAGACGGCAAGTGGCAGTCAGAGAGGCCAGAATGAACGCTTCCGGAAACAACCAAGAGGTTGTTGGTCTGGCAGGGTGGATCCCCTACAGGGTGGGAAAGGGCACAAAACACACCCAGCCCTGATCCGGGAGATCTGCCAGACCCAGCCCTGATCTGGCCAAGAATCGAATCCGGCAGTGGAACAAAAGGGGGGGGGTTTCTCCTCCCTCGGGGACAGAACTTCCCTGCGGGGAATCCGGAGTCGGTCACTTCACAAGCCGGACATCAGCAGATGAGGGTTTTGCTCCTGAAGGTGCAATCCAGTGGCCGAATTAGCCACCATGTTGAGTTGGGAGGTTGGAGGGAAAAATTAAAGAGCAGCAACAGAGATAAAAGCAAGGCTCTCCTCTCCAAACTCACCACCACCACCACCACAAAAAACGGCAGAACAAAATCCTTCCTTTGAGAAGCTGGGAAGGGAGGCGGAAAAGCCCCTAACACTGCAGTGGCCCTCATTCTGACCAAGACACATACACACACGCACAGGAACGCAACCTGGAGTTTTCCAACCCCAGTAAGGACATTTTGGACACACACAACGGATCAGCAAAGCAAGCACAACAGAGAAGTGAAGGCTTCGTAATGCCCGGTTCCCTGCCGGACTCCACAGAGCAAAAAAATGCCACCTGAAATGAGGCTGTTTTGTTAAAAATGGCCTCTGTTAGCCAAAAGGCAGAGCCTGCGGCCAGCTGGACCAGAGGCAAGGAAGACGCTGTGATGGAAGACTCTTCACAACTGGCAGAACCACAACTGCCCAGAAAGCCACCGACGAAGCCCAAAGCAGCCCGGAGCGTCCCAGAGGCCCACCTAAAACAGAGGGACAAGCGACCATTCAAAGAGACAGCTGCCCGTCTCTTGCCTTGAACTGGTCCAGCCTGTCAATCAACCATCCTTGAACATCCAGGACCTTTGAAAGACAGCTGTGACCCAGGGCAACCCAAAGAAGCAACGGGCGGAAGCCAACTGACCTCCTCCAGAGAAACGTTT